GTGGTAATTGATGTATATTCTTGGGCAATAATAACTGTAATAGGTCAATTTACAGTTCTAATGAGTAATGCTGTGTTCACACTGAAATCCAGCATATTGGGCTGCTTGATTACATACAAAGTCAATGCAAAGATGTGTTTTTTGCAGCATTCGCTGGTTCGTTCAAGTTCAAATTTTTTAACTTGATCCAGAAATTCGCATAATGCTATGCTGCAAAAGCCTATTAGTGGTGAGATTGTACGGACGTCACCGACGGCTTCAGAGCGTTGTTTGGTAAGGACCAGGCAGAGCAGGGGGCGTGAAATGCCACTGGCATTTCCGGAGAGCTGCTAAAGTATGGGGAAGTGTAGCTGCAGCTTTTGGACAAATAAACTCCCGTAGTCGGTCAGATTGTGCTCTGACAAATACGGCGTTTACCCGCGGGAGGAGCTCAGAGTTAACTGCTTTTGTTTAAATGAACTTTTTACTATAGTTTTTGGGATTGATTTATCTTCACTTGCTCTTCTCAGCAGCTAGCTTCCTTGCATTTCTGGTTCCACTGTTGTCATTAGCGTCGGTTGGCACGCAGAGCTCTGTTGGACTACTACTTCATATTTATATTCAAAAATCTGACAAAACTGGATATTACTTTGAGAAAAGAAAGCGAGGAAGTTCAATCAATCAATCAATCAAACTTTATTTCTAAAGCACATTTAAAATAACCAAGTTGACCAAAGTGCTGTACATTGAAATGAAACAATAAATAGACAAAATACAACACCAGACAAATACGACATACAGTTCTCATGCCAGATTAAAAGCCAAGGAATAAAAATGGGTTTTAAGTTGCGCTTTAAAAACCGGTTGGCTTGGTGCCAGTCTGACATGAAGAGGCAATTCATTCCACAGTCTCGGGGCTGCGACTGAGAAAGCTCGATCCCCCTTGCTCTTGAGCCGTGGTTTAGGGACAACGAGAAGAGACTGGTTCGCAGACCTTAATGACCTTGAAGGAGCATGTGGCTTCAACAGATCAGTGATAGACTGGAGCTAGTTCATGAAGGGCTTTAAAAACAAACAACAGAATCTTAAAATCACTCCTAAAATTAACTGGGAGCCAGTGAAGAGAGGCAAGAACAGGGGTGATGTGATCTCGCTTACGAGTTCCAGTAAGGAGACGGGCGGCAGCATTTTGAATCAGTTGTAGTCGAGAGAGGGAGGCCTGGCAAAACCTACATACAAAGCATTACAGTAGTCAAGGCGTGTTGTGATAAATGCATGTATGACCCTCTCAAAGGGCTTAAGCTTAGTAAGAAGCCTAAGTTGAAAGAAACTTGCTTTCACAACAGAATTGATCTGCTCCTCCATTTTAAAATCACAATCCATTTTTACTCCAAGGTTACAACAGACTTAATATAAGGTTGCAAAGTGCCCAGGTCTATTTGTGAGACATCAGAGGTGCCGCTGGGTCTAAAAACCATGACCTCAGTTTTACTCTCGTTAAAGTTAAAAAAATTCAAGGCCATCCAGGCTTTAATATCATTAAAACAGTCAACCAATCTTGTTAAAGAACTACCATCATTTCTTTTGATGGGCAGGTAGATTTGCGAATCATCTGCGTAGAGATGGAAGCTGATGTTATGTCTTTTGAAGATTGATCCAAGGGGAAGCAAATAGAATGAAAAAAGAATTGGCCCGAGAATCGAACCCTGGGGAACTCCACATGTGAGGGACACAGAAGGTGAAACAGAGCCACCAAAACTGACTCTAAAATCTCTGTCTGACAGGTATGACCTAAACTATTCTAAGGCAGTGCTCTTAATCCCCATGCCATGCTCGAGGTGAGAAATAAGGATGCTGTGGTCAACTGTGTCAAATGCTGCTGTAAGATCTAAAAGCATAAGAATTGGATAACCTCCAGAGTCAGTTCAGATTAAAAGATCATTAAAATCTCTTAAAAGTGCTACTACCTAAGTTGAACTACCTGGTGAGTTCAGAAAATATGTGTCTGTAACTTTATTCCAGCTATGGTTGTACTTTACTGTGAACAAGTTAGTATAGCGTAGCCCTGATCGATCCGAACTTCATTCAGAAAACAAAGATTTAAAAAGTTGTTGTCCTGCTGTCTTGCTGACGGACCTGACAAAGCATGAATTCATATGTCTAACAAATCTGTGTCATGTTGTAGTTATTACGGCATCAGTGTGATCCGTTTACAGCTTCGGGTTCATACAGCTGTAGTATTCACGTATTGATTTTATTCGCTTATTGCGTTGTGTGTGAACACTCAGCAGTTGTCCAGCGATAAAACCAGCGCGAGGAAAGCGTTGCGAGCATTAAATTTGCGTTGTATGTGAACACAGCATAAGGCTTACGCAGGCTCTTTGGGCATGTGTGGGCTCCTTTGGGTTATGGAGTAGGGCACACACGTTCTGCTGATGTGGTTGTGATTCTGTTGGCTATTTACTGGTAAGCCAAAGTGATGAAAACATTTATAAACGTGCTGACACAAACATACAATGAATATGTAAGACTATAATGGACTGTCTGTACATGTATGAGATTTGTATTAGAATTTTGCAAGTTGTGTGTGCCAGTTGTGTGTGCGCAGAATATTGTCAGTGTGAGTGTGTTTATGTTCATGCAAGTTAAAGAGGGAACAGGAATTTTCAAAACATCAGTCAAGATGTAAGCAGCCACAACGTTCTGCTGATGTGTTTATGTTTCTGTATTTACAGAGTAAACAAAGTAAAGGAATTGATGATAAACTTATGCATTCCTGGAAGTCTGGGCCGGTCAGTGGCATAGGCAACACAGGCGGTTGCCTAGGTACATAATGTCAGGGGGCGCCAATCAACTCAGGCCAGCAGGTATAGGGCAGGTAGACTAAAAATATTATGAATTCTCATTAAATGATGAAGTTAGTCTCGTAATATTGCGACTTGTTTCTGGACATATGTGAGAGATTCTGAATGTGCAGAAGGTTTTGAAGATGAGCAAAAAATCCTGCTGAAACAGCTATTAAAGTCCAAGAGTCTCTAACTGAATTAAAATGAATTAAATTATCAATGAGGTGAAAAGATGCAACAAAAGACTCAAAAGAGGAGGGAAGGCTAAGCATGTTTACTGACGCAGAGGTTTTATTAAATTAAAAAAGTTGATCTACAGGAGAAAACATATTTTAAAGAAAAGCTACAGAATGCCTGAAACCATTTCTGCATTATATTCTATTTTTATATATATATTTTGAATTGTCACCTGCCACCTTAATATTGTCATTACCTTTATATAGATAAAGACATTTCCACCATAAACTGATGGAGATGTTTTCACCAGAATGCAGGAGGACCCCCAGAACCTCCTCTTCATTTGTTCCCTCCAACATTGAAACTAAACCAATGCTTGCATTTCAGGGAAAATACCCCATAAATTCACTACAATGCAAGAAAACAGTATCTGGGTTGACACACAGTTTATGGGAAGGACTCATTCCCAGATACCAGGTTAGGCTTGGTCTCCCAATTTAGGCTAGAATGTGTAGGCTGATCACACTTCTTCATTATTGACCATGATTATTGACTTGGCTGTTATCTAAAAAAGCCAAAATTGTGAATTTGGCTGCTGAACAATTCCTGCTAGGCCAATTTGCTACAGTAACGTTAATTTGCCTACTACAGCTTTTTAATAAATTGTGGCAACAATTTTATTTATAATATTCCTTGTAGTTCACTAACCGTTTCGTTATCATCCGATAAATTTAGGTATGCTGGCATTACTTAACATCCGGGGAAAGATACACACAGTTATGGAAAAGCCAGCAGGTGAGCTAACGCTGACCTTTGATGTCGGCCTAAAACAGTCAATGTATTGTTGTCATGCAACAAGCATGGAGTCAAGCTGATAAAAATAGTACTGCAATGTTGCAGTGGGAGTTTACCTCAGTTTCCAGCATATGCTCGCTCATGAGTTCAAACCCACTGAAAGGTTGTGGTTGCAATCTGAAACTGCACCGCTAGAGCCCGCTGAAAACTACACATAGCTCCTTTAAATTCTGGTGAATGGTAAATGGTTGCAAAAATACAGCTTTCATTTAGTAGAGCGGGGGTTGAACCGTCAATGATCCTGAGCCACACCTGCCCTTCTCGTCCATGTTGATTGAAATTTTAGATAAAGGCCATGCTTGACCTTTCTAGAGTAGAAAGTATACTACTGATACTGATCCATTAGACTACTGTATACTACTTGAAAATCACCCTGGGAAGGTTGGGTAAATCCCACCTGTCATCACATAGCCTTGTTCTGGCCCTGAGTATTTACTCTGCTGGTCCTCCCTGCCCTAGGGTGGTGCTGTTCTGTGTTTTCCCAATTTGTTGAGTTACATGGGTGGGCTCAAGGTGGTAAGCCACAGTTGGAACAGTGAAGCTGACCAAAGCCTGCATGGTAGGTTCTATGTAGTCAAAACCCTGTGACACCCCGTTGCACATGACAGATGTAACCATATGGCTTAGATATAACTCTCTGTGAATCTAAAAAAACTCTTCAGCCATCAGTGACGCTGCGTTGATGTTTGGCAGGTGAGCCTCGTAGGTGGGTTGATTGATTAAACAGTGACGATGTGAGTCAGACAAACACTCTGAGCCATGAGACTTTTTGTTGGCGCAGCTATGCAGCTACTAGAATTACAGTGTTTCTGCCGTTCCTTTACGTCATTAAACCACGGTTTTGCTGCGCCATCATGCACAGCAGATGCTGGTGCGGACAGGAAATAGCCCTTTAGTAGTATTTTATTGGTCCAAAACTGGCTTCACTGCTCTCCATTCAAATCTGCGGGGTGGCTTCGTCCAGTAATATACTATCTATGGGTGGGCTGCTTACTGGACTGGAGCTGGAGACTGATGGCACCTACTTTAAAAGGACAAAAACAAAATATATTAAACAAAGAAGCGGAGCCACAATGCCTGCAGTGCTGCTTTCTCACGAGGCAGTGATGTTAATGTTGTTCACATTAAAACAAACAACAGTGGTGTAACCAAACATTGTTATTTTATTATCTTAAAAAGTAACACAATCCCCATATGGTATCACATACACTACAACAACAGTAACACCAGTACTACACATCAAAGGGACTTTTAGATATTATAGACATTTAAAAAATCCCTCTTTTTATTGTTTAAATTATTTGACTAGGCATGACAGATAAACATCATTTACAGGTATGACATACCGTCACCATTAGAAACAATGTTATTGTTGAACCTCCATTTTTATAAACCACCGCAGATGTTAAGGGAAGACATTTCATGGACCGTCAGTGTAAAAAAGGGATGGAAGGTTAGAAGACTGGCTGGAGGGGACTGATGGAGGGCCACTGGGACAGTAGCAAGGAGGATTGGGGAAGGGGGCAGTGCAAACATCAGACATAAGGGATAGAACCCAGGGAGGGGACTACAGCCCTATTTTACTGATGGAACAGAGACAAGAACCCCACTGTGGCTGTGGAACAAGAGCTAAAACCCCTGAACTGTGGTGCATTGTAGATTAAACTCCATTGTAGGAACAGAAATTTAACTCTAGTGGTAAAAAATATATTAGTGGTACAATAGACTGAAACTACTGTATTTGTAGGGACAGGTCACCCTCTAAATGGTAAAAGTGGAACAGAGACTTGACTAACAAAATCTTGACATATCCCTGTCTGTGTGTCTTTCTGTAGTCATAGAATAGTGGATAAAGCCCAACTATGTGGGTACAACTGGCACTATAAACCTCTGTATAGGTATAATTAGGACTAGAACCTTACTGTAATGATGTAGTAAGGACTAAAGCCCTACTGCTGTTTTGTAATGGATGGAAGCCTATTGGGTTAGGGGAGAGACGAGAACCGTACACAGTTCATTCATTATACAGAATCAAAACAATGAAAACAGGGTGATTTTATGACAAATATGGGCAGGACTTACAAAACAGTGGATGGTGACACAGGATCAGACAACTTGATAATCCGGTGGTCCACATGTTGGATATGATTGCATGTGTGTACCCTTACAGATACACAAAGGATGTACACTATACCCTTAGAATACTGACAGGAAAAGGACTAACACCCTTAAATAGTATTAGAACCCTGCTACAATCCTAGAATACTGAAATACCCTCCAGGGTTTTAGTCCCCCTTGGAGTTTAGGTCCCTGTACCCCTGAGGACTAAAACCCAAGAACAGCAGTGGAACTATAAATCTCTTCCAGTGGCATAACAGAGATTAGAATCATAAAATATTGACAGACCATATTCGTAGAAGACAAATGTCAGTCCATTAGGGACAGAATATAAACCAGTACCGTTGTACAGAGGGAGAAGAGGGTAAAGCCCTAGTATTAGTAGTTGAAACAGACTTAACATTTTACTGTAGTGAAAACACATACAGTTGGACCCTTGTGTCAAGATGCAGAGCAGAGAGCGAACTAATCTCCCCAACAGAGATCAGGGAGTAGAATCCTACTTCAGTGGTAAGGATAATACCTTCTTACATTGTACCTGGAGCCATTTGACTAGTTCTTTAATGCGATCAGGGGAGTTTTCATGAAAGAAGTGTTTGGTACGTTTGTTCTGAGCACATGGTGGTGAAGAGGTACAGTTCCAGTCTACCATTGCATGAGTTTGATTCCCAGTAGCAGTATGTCGGGGTTGGTCGTGCGTTTCAACAAACAAAATGTGTACACACGTGGGAGGCCAGTGAGGGGGGTCTGGGGTCTTACAGTGTGCATAACCTCACTGAATCTGATATTTAGTTTGTTGTGCCTTGCCACAGTGGGCTAGCTTGCATTGCTGTATGTCAGGATTTTGTTTTACACATCTTATTGGTGAGAAGGAAACACTATTTGGGTTGAAGTCCCTTTCTGGGACCTCTGCAGAGGAAGTTATGTAGTAGGCTGTAATGATGACAGGGAGGGGGCTGGGGGGTGTTAATGCAGCTGAAACACAATGTTATTATGTACCATTAGAAGAAACCTTGTTAGTGAAGAAAGGGCATGGGCGTCCAGCACTTTGATGTGTAGTGTGTTAGTGTATAAATGTGTGTGTGTGTGTGTGTGTGTATGAACGTGTGTGTAGACATTCACAGGCTAGAGGCTGATGACAGTGTGATAGCAGAACGGAGGGCTGTTTTTGCTGCTGTGGAGGTAGTTGTAGAGGAGCCTATAGGACGACAACATTGGGATGACTGACAGCTCCCTGAACCTATAGGAGGATAGGAAATGATTGAGCTATAGGACTGCAGAAGTTCCAGCACAGCTCAGGTCGGGTTTAATGATGAAAACAACACATTTCAAATATAGGTCTTATTTCACATGGCCCCGTGCCAGAGTCAGTGGTTACCCCGTCCATCAGTTCAGTCACTGTGTAATCCCAGTCATGTTCACCCAAATGCTTCACTAAATGGCCACTGCCAAACGTATGCAGGTGAAACTTAAAAAAAAAAAGTGTAAGCAGCCATTTAATACTATATTCCAACTATATCATCACTCTTTTTATCATGGCCATCACTGACCATAATACAACTTAGCACCAGGAGTGAGAGTGGCTAAGGGTTTGATTCACTACTACTCAAGTAGTCATGAACTTGATAGAAATGTAAATTAATGGTTAAGTTGTGTATAAATAAAGAACTACTGAAACCAAAAGACTAAGTCACATCCCTGCTTGTTGTGTATAACACTAGTCTGGATCACATCTCATATTCTCTGCTGGGCACTCAGCCACATCAAGTGCCCGTGCAGCTGCTCCTGATGATTGCACTCGTACACGCTGGGCTGGCCTTTAACTGCAAAACAATCTACTTTCACTGATGCCAGGATTTACACATAAAGGATCAGTGCTTTTTGCTGGTTCAAGTAAGCTACTCACTTTTTAACAGTTTAGCTCTGAAACTCTACAGTGATGTGACCGTGACCCCCCATGTCCACCGTATGCAGCCGTTCCATCTTCACATACTGGCTGTTGTTTGGTTTAGTTGTTCTTGGTATTTCTGTTTCAAGTGTTTCCTGGAAGGAAAGTGCTTGGTTTCTAAAACTGTTTAGAGTTGTGTAGCCAACATTTTCATCTATTTCTCCACCCACTCCGCATCGTCCTCCAACTTTTGGAATCGTATATAAGCAATAAATACTGAAAACTGTCCATATAAAATCAAAAAGATTTTCTGTTTCTACTGAGGTCCTGCTGTGACGTTGTAGCATCAATAGCACAGAGTGCCATACGGAGGGGGCAGTAGCAAGGCAGCAGCTCCAGACACAACAATGGCCACATCTTTTGTAGTATCTCCCCCACCACACTGCTTTTAATCACTGATATCCACACATCTCAGTGATGCTTATTGAAAGGAACGAGGTGAAGTTTAACTGTGTGTTTAGTGCTGTGACTGCCATAGTGGAACCTGTCATTTTCATGTGAAATGAGCTGCCTCAGCAGTCAGTGTGAATACATCAATATGCTAGCTGGACAGAGAAAAACAAGTTTTCTGCCTGCCAGTATTGTGGGTGTTACAGGCTGTGACCTAACCTGCAGGACCTCAGTAGCTTATATCTTAACGCCACTGTGAGGTGACTCTAAACAAACTATATGTACATAAAGAGAAAGTCAGGAGCAAAACGCAGCATGTCATTAAATATTAATTTCATGTCAACTGTCTGTAAATATAGACATTTATACACTGTATACAAATTGACTTGTAATCTATATACTGTATAAATTTCCTTCAAATAGTTCTCTATGTTTCTTTACCACTCAGCCAGTTTCTCTGCTGTTGAATTTCCCCTCAAGGATAAATAAAGTCTTATCTTTTTGAGAAAAACACACCTGGCCTGTTATAATGGTGGAGTGGTGAATAGAGCATGTGTCCAGTGGACAGTGGTACATGTGCTGGAATGACGGCCACAACAGAGCTGAAATATGTATGGCACAGCTGCATCCCATGGGCATAAGGGGTAACATAAAAAGAGAGAACAAGCTGGAAGAAGATCTGTCTCCATGAAACTCTTTTAGTCTCTAATCAAAAACCTCATCCCTGGAGCTACACCTCAGGCTTTCCATATATCTGACAACAGTTGGAGGGGATAGTTAAACCGTGTTCAGGCAGTTCAGATGGGCATCATGGAATCCAACAGACACAAGAGCTGCTCAGATTCATTCTACAGAGGGGGTTACAGTAAAAACATCCCTGTCACGTTATTCACTGTCTAACCACCTCACACTGCTGCATTTTAGACTGACGGTTAATGGTAGTAACTGTCAGGATGTCTGCCAGTGGTGAATTTGAGAGAACTGACAGAAACAAGTAGTGAGCAGGAGCTGGATCAGTAAGTGTACCATCAGTAACAGTAGTCTCTTCAGTGTGTAATACCAGGAGGCACCACTAGAGGGAGATGCGCTGATCTGGAGCAGCTGGAATGGGAGGGGAAATAACATGACCTGAGATTACAGATTATACAAACTTTACCCCCCCCCCTCCCCAAACACACACACACGCTCACATGCGCACGCACGCACGCACACACACACACACACACACACACACACACACACACACACACACACACACACACACACACACACACACACACACACAAGAAACCACATAAGTGAAACAACACAACAGCAGTGTGTAAACTATAGGCTGCAGAATGACATGGTCAGAGTGTGTCCATCTGCCTGGTGGCCTGGTGTGTACGTGTGTGTGGGGTGTGAGAGAGCAGTTTCCAGGTTGTCTGAAGTCCTCTGTTTGTATCTGTAAGTGTGTGTGTGTGTGTGTTAACAGCTATAGTTCCACAGTGGCCCTGTGGCAGCTCCACTGATTCAGAGAGTCTGTCAGTCTAAAGGTGTAACAGTCCTTAGTGGTGGGACCTTTATTTTCTGGGCCCTGTCCATTAGCTCTCAGCAATCCACCCAGCCCTTAGTTCCGCCCCTAGACGCTGGTTATTGACGCAAGGCAGGCGCTGGGCTTCTGGAGTTTCTCTGGTTGGGTGCTGGCAGGTTCTGGAATGGCGCGGAAGGAGAAGGGAGGGCCGTTGCCGGTGGAAATGCCAAGGTGGCCAGGGCTCAGCGCCAGGTTCTGCCGACGGTTACTCTCCACTATGGAAGAGGTGTTAGATGCTAGGCTCTCCCTTGTTCTGCAGACAGACACACAATGAGAAATTATACAACACCAGAGCAAGTGCTTGATGTTTCCACTTCTGCTGGAGACAAACAGACAGAACCATGTTCACTGTATGACACACATTCAGATTTTTGTTCATCGTCACAGATGAAGTACATATGCCAGCTGGATTAGAACACGCGCTTGTCTTATTTGCTTACCTGAATGCAAAAAAACAAATGCAAAGTTGGTCCCACAGCCTGTGAGCGCAGCAGGAAAATCATCTGCCTGATTCTATCCTTAACACTGAGTGTATCCACATAAAGCCAGTACATTTAATAACACATAATTTTCTCTCAACTTCAGCATTCCATGCAGATCAAATTAGCTACTTTCACCCTACAGCTGAGCTTTTCCAAAATGGCATTGAGTGTAAACATCTTAAAACTTCAGTTTAGGGTTTCAGTGTGTACAGGGTAAACAGAGCTTTTCCAAAACGATGTAAGCCTCCCCAGTGAGGGTCAGGGCTGTGTGGCAGTAAAGCTCAGAAGGACTCCAACCTCTAACTTTCTCTGTGATCACGAAATACAAATACACAGCAAAGCTGTTGATTTTGTCAGATGATGTTTACAAATAAAGGATTTCATCACCACAGCACAGCAGCTTAGGAATGCTGCTGGTCAACAGCAGCAGAATCCAGAATCACATATCAAACCATTCATCTCTTTGTTAGCAAAGCTTTAAATTTTGCATGATTCTCATTTTTTCCTTGGTTGAAAGGACAAACAGAACAAACTGCTTTTTGCTAACAAACCCTTAAATTGTAATGTATACACTGCATTTGAAAAATGCAAAATGAACCACTGAAATTTTCTTATATATTAAGAATAGTGAATGGGTGACTAATTTCTGATGCAACCTTTGAGTATACAAAGGTTGCATACATTCTCTATAAATGTTGAAAGCTAAACAAATTAGATTTAATAAGTGATTCTGATTCAACAAGTGTATTTGATACTGGATTCAGATTCTATAGAATTATGTCTATTTCAGATGGACAGACCCAGACTGAAAATACTTTTTTCCAACTGCACTGCAGTAGGACATGATATAAACCTACAGTGGGGCTAAAACTAGGTCTGGGCAATAAATCAATAATGATAATTAATGGCAAAATAATTTTTCTCAATAACAATATAACATATGTTCAATATATCGTCAAGAAATTCATTTGAATCACGAATGATTTGCTCTTAATTTTTCTAGCTAAGATATTAATTTTGTTGAGGAAAAGGGAGTGCCATATCATATTTGTTGAAAAAAGATTTGATCAGAATCACTTTGAATATTCTACTTCAGATTTGTGAAGTGATCCACTGTTTGGCAGCAAGTGTTTGTCACGTTCTGACATAAGGAAAAGTTTAAAACCACAGCTAACCATCTGTTTTCTTCTACTTTCACTCAGGAGGCCTTTAAACCTGAAATAATTAATGATTGACATTTATTGTGATAATTATCGATATTGAATGGTATGAAATGTTTTTATTGTGATAACATTTTTGGTCATATCACCGAGCCCTAGCTAAAGCATTGTCAGCTTACCTTAAAACTAAAATAATGAGCAATGAATGAAAAATAAATTGTAGCTTACAAGGACAGAAACGACTACTTTTTGCTAACAACCCACAATGCATTCCACTGCATTTGATGAATTCTGCATTGTATATTAGATTGCAATGTAGTACCGGGTACAGAAACAGGGTAATAGTGTGTATGTACACAGGATGTATATACTATGTTCTCACCGTGGTGAATTGAATCCACTGTCAACAGTGACGGAGCTAGAGTCCATACTGTCCAGTCTAGCTGAGTGGGCTGACTGCTGGTTCTGACTAGGCTCTGGAAGGTTCTCTTTAGCACCCGGGAAAGTGAGGGTTCTTTCAAATCTCCTCTGTAGATCCCTTTCCTTCTCTCTCTCCAATAGCCACTGCATGGTCCCTGCTCCACCCCCTCCCATCCCAACAATGCCCCCTCCAGCCTTCTCGTCCTCTCCTCGACTTTTAGTCCCTCCCTCCTCGAGTTCATCGTCATCTGAGACATTGTAGTAGTCGAATGACGCCTCTGCAGCACTGGTCGAGGGTTCAATCCCCTGTGGGAGAGCAGATGGTGTGGCAACCAGAGGTTTGGGAGCATCAAAGGCCTCCTGGGAATCAAGTGCATCGCAGGACGAGGACAGAGTAGAGGAGGCAAGGGCCGGGGGTTTTCTCAGGGAGCTGTAGCCAGGCAAAGGGAGGCTAGGAGGAGGTTTGAAGAGTGTGTCTTTGCTAAAGATCTCCTTACGTTTCTCCTGACCAGAGGAGACACTGTGGGGAGGTCGTCCATTAGGAAGGGGGGGGTCAGGGATAGAGAGAGATATTGGAGGCAGGCTACCACCCTTAGGTCCCACCTTTGACAAATCCTCTTTATTTTCTAGGGGATGGGGTGTCTGTCTGTCTGTTTTCCTGTCCGTGCTGCCCATTTTTAATCCATCATGGTTATTTTTGCCCAGAGTTCCCAGTGGGTTTGGTGCTATGAGAACCGCCTCAGAGGAACCAGTGCACTGAAAGTAATCATCAGGCGGGATAGAGCTGGGTAGTGGTTTGGGTGAGTACGCTGGCAGGCTGTCCCTGCTCTTACTCTTCTCTAAGCTCCTGCCACCATCCATTCCCAGAGAATCCACAGGCAGCTTAGCTGAGGGGGGTGTGGCACGAGAGTAGTGAGAAGAGATCTGATTGGCTCGCAGGGTGCCATCATCAGTATAGTAACGGCTCCGGTCGTCATAATAATCGGGTGGTCCTATCAACCCGGCCCCAAGTGGTCCTTTAGAGTTGTCCATGGATCTGGAACGTTCCTTGGCCTTGTCGCTGCGTTCGTTTCTCGACTTCCTCTCCTGGGTATGCGAGTGTGAGCGGTGGACTTTGGAGTGGTGGGCGGACGGGCCATGGCTTGGCTCTGGGAAAGGCATTTCTGTGCGTCGCTTGGCGAGCTCTCCGGACACATCCCACTCTGGCGTGACCGGCAGGTGGGATGAGTCGAGGATGTTGGGGTTGCTGTGTGCCAGGTGAAGCCGGGCCCGCTGCCGCTCCATGGCCAGGGCATGTTCCCTCGGTGACCGAGCAAGTGAGGATGAGTAGGCTCTGTAGTCCCTGTCAGCCAGCTCCAGGTGGGAACCATCACTCGGCTCACCACGGGACGCCCTAGTCTTGCTATGTGAGCGACTGAGTTTGGTCTGAGACTGTTTCCTGTGTCTACCCCCACTTCTCCTACTTCTGGAGCTCTGATTGGCTGATGATGCTTTGCTCCTCTGGGCCCGCTCTTCTTCGAGACGCTTCATGACCGCTGTGTGCCGGGCGAGGTTCTCCACGGTGAGGTCAGGGTTGATTCTCCGAATGATCTCCATCTCTACATGGCGTGGCAGCTGGCCAGGCGTCTCTTCGTCACGTAGCGGCCACTCCTCAGGGGGGAACTGTGCAGAGAAGGTGGCCAGCTGCTTGGCCTTGTCCTTTTTAAAGCTCAAACGGAACAGCTTCAAACCAAATTTCCGACTTCCTGTACCACTTCCTCCACCTGCTTGTTTCTCAGTCTCTCCAGTTCCTCCTCCCCCTCCTGCTCCCCCTCCTCGATGCTTGGTGAGCGTGTCCGTCTTGAAGGGGAACCCGAGGGTGCTGCGATTCTTTTCTGTGTTGCCTCCTGCTTGCTGAGGAGGTGTTTGTGGGGAGTGTGGGGACGAGTACGCCTCCCGGTGGTCTTTGGGGGATCTGCGCTGCAAAGTGGTGTGGTGGCTAGGGGGGTCTTCCCCACGGTAACTGTTGTTGTAAAAAGAATCCCCACCTCCCGCACTGTGGTTTTGGCTGGACTTTGGGTGTGTTCGATCTCGCACGGCTCCAGAGGTGGATGGGGTGATGGTGCCAGAGAGAGGTGAGGTGCACTGCGTCTGCTGATGCTGCTGTTGGTTCTGATGTTGCTGCTGTTGGTGTCGGTCAGCAGATCGTTCGTCTAAGTGGTACCACTTGGAGCTGGTTCGGATCAGGCTCGGAGTGATGAAGTAAGTCTGGGGGGTTACAATAAAATATCCGTCGGGTGTTGGGTAGATTTTCCGCTCACGGACCAGCATGCTTAGCGTGTGGTGCAGAACCTCCTCCGTTGGCGTGGGAACACCTGAACAAAATTAGAAACAAGAAGCACTTAAAGCAGATTTTTACACAACAGGTTCACATTCGATTCTCTTTTCATTATGTTTTCAAAAAAGAAATTATGTGTAGAATGAATGTTCATGTCTCTACAATAAGCCCTCTCCAAATGCGTTTCAGATAATTTGGCAGTACATCCAACCGACCTCACAACCACAGACCACGTGAAACCACACCAGCCCAGGACCTCCACATCCAGCATCTTCACCTCTAAACAGCTGTCCGCCACCGGTCCGCCACCCGGACAGCTGCTGCAACAATCAGTTTGCATAACCAAAGAATTTCTGCACAAACTATCAGGAACCGTATCAGGGAAGCTCATCTGCATGCTCGTAGTCCTCATCGGGGTCTCAACCTGACTGCAACTTCACACAGCCATTGAGGAGGAGTGGCCCAACATTCTACAGGCCACAATCAACAACCTGATCAACTCTATGCAAAGGAGATGTGTTGCACTGCGTGAGGCAAATGGTGGTCACACCAGATACTGACTGGTTTCCGGACCCCACTGGACCCCCCCCCTCCCAATACAGTTTAATTGCACATTTTCGAGTGTGTTTACAATTTTGTTCAGTGTATATCATCATACTAAATGTCAATGTAAATACAGTGAGGAAAATAAGTATTTGAACACCCTGCTATTTTGCAAGTTCTCCCACTTAGAAATCATGGAGGGGTCTGAAATTGTCATCGTAGGTGCATGTCCACTGTGAGAGACATAATCTAAAAAAGAAAATCCAGAAATCACAATGTATGATTTTTTAACTATTTATTTGTATGATAAAGCTGCAAATAAGTATTTGAACACCTGAGAAAATCAATGGTAATATTTGGTACAGTAGCCTTTGTTTGTAATTACAGAGGTCAAACGTTTCCTGTAGTTTTTCAGCAGGTTTGCACACACTGCAGGAGGGATTTTGGCCCACTCCTCCACACAGATCTTCTCTAGATCAGTCAGGTTTCTGGGCTGTCGCTGAGAAACACAGAGTTTGAGCTCCCTCCAAAGATTCTCTATTGGGTTTAGGTCTGGAGACTGGCTAGGCCACGCCAGAACCTTGATATGCTTCCTACAGAGCCACTCCTGGGTTATCCTGGCTGTGTGCTTCGGGTCATTGTCATGTTGGAAGACCCGGCCTCGACCCATCTTCAATGCTCTAACTGAGGGAAGGAGGTTGTTCCCCAAAATCTGGCAATACATGGCCCCGGTCATCCTCTCTTTAATACAGTGCAGTCGCCCTGTCCCATGTGCAGAAAAACACCCCCAAAGCATGATGCTACCACCCCCATGCTTCACAGTAGGGATGCTGTTCTTGGGATGGTACTCATCATTCTTTTTCCTCCAAACACGGTTAGTGGAATTATGACCAAAAAGTTCTATTTTGGTCTCATCTGACCACATGACTTTCTCCCATGACTCCTCTGGATCATCCAAATGGTCATTGGCAAACTGAAGACGGGCCTTGACATGTGCTGGTTTAAGCAGGGGAACCTTCCGTGCCATGTGTGATTTCAAACCATGACGTCTTAGTGTATTACCAACAGTAACCTTGGAAACGGTGGTCCCAGCTCTGTTCAGGTCATTGACCAGCTCCTCCCATGTAGTTCTGGGCTGATTTCTCACCTTTCTTAGGATCATTGAGACCCCACGAGGTGAGATCTTGCATGGAGCCCTAGTCCGAGGGAGATTGACAGTCATGTTTAGCTTCTTCCATTTTCTAATGATTGCTCCAACAGTGGACCTTTTTTCACCAAGCTGCTTGGCAATTTCCCCGTAGCCCTTTCCAGCCTTGTGGAGGTGTACAATTTTGTCTCTAGTGTCTTTGGACAGCTCTTTGGTCTTGGCCATGTTAGTAGTTGGATTCTTACTGATTGTATGGGGTGGACAGGTGTCTTTATGCAGCTAACGACCTCAAACAGGTGCATCTAATTTAGGATAATAAATGGAGTGGAGGTGGACATTTTGAAGGCAGACTAACAGGTCTTTGAGAGTCAGAATTCTAGCTGATAGACAGGTGTTCAAATACTTATTTGCAGCTGTATCATACAAATAAATAGTTAAAAAATCATACATTGTGATTTCTGGATATTTTTCTTTTATGTCTCTCACAGTGGACATGCACCTACGATGACATTTTCAGACCCCTCCATGATTTCTAAGTGGGAGAACTTGCAAAATAGCAGGGTGTTCAAATACTTATTTTCCTGTACATGTAAAAAGAACAAACTAGCTTTTCACTGTGGGATTATAAGTCTGAATAGAGCCTGCATCCCTTTACAGAAGACCTCAGTATGCTTTAAACAAAGATCTTGTCAGATTGTCTCAGAGCATCAGCAGAATTAGGGGACTGTGTCTCCACAGAACTACTTGTCACTTTTACATGTACAACCGAGTGCAACACCATTAATGCCTTCGAGGAGAGACTGCCGGAATGTGTGCACTGTTACCATCATGTCTCATTCCTCTCTATTACCTTGTTCAGACTGACACTGTGTTCACTCAACTTTTTATGTGGTTATGGCTTTTTCACTAGAGATGTCTCCTCTTTTCAATACATCATATGACAATAAGAAATACTGTATTATATTGTACTGTTAGAGCTGGGCAATAAAACAATTATCATAATTATCGCAATATAATTTTCCTCAATAACAATATAATAAATGTCCAATATATCGTCAATAAATCTTTGATTTAATTCATTTGAATCACAAACAAATTAGTCCTTAATTTTTCTATTAAAAATATTTATTTTGTTGAGGAAAAGGAACTGAAAAAGATTTACTAATCATATTTGCTGAAAAAGATTTTATCATAATAGTTTTGAATATTCTACCTCAGATTTGTTAAATGATCCACTGTTTGGCATCAAGTGTTTGTCACATTCTGACCACCAAGAAAAGTTTAAACCCATAATTGACCATCTGGTTTCTTCAATTTTAACTCAGGAGCAAAAATCAGCCTTTAAACTTGAAAGAAATAATGATTTGACATTTATCGTGATAATCATCGATATCAAATGATATGATTTGGCCATATCGCCCAGCCCTAGGTACTGTATGATCCTTCCAGTTACACTACAGTTGTACTGTACTAAACTTCTATACCTGTTTCCATGTCAATACCTTTGTTCATCATTTCTGATATATCAGCTGTCTGGACATCTGTAAACTGAAATTAAAGCATCTTAAATATCAAGCAAGTTGAGCAGATCATTCTCAAGTATACTGAGAAGGCTGACAAGGCCTGCTGAGAAAGTGTTAGTAACAATTAAAGGAACTGTAGTTATGTGCTTAAGTTTGTTGTTCATGCAAGAATAATTTTTGCTACATTCTAAAGCAGCTGAAGTTTTGGTTGGGTACATCTGGAGGCATACAGATGAAGCAACCTAATCAAGATGATACTAACTAATGAATAACTGTTTTAGCATGTGGACATATGATGAAGAGGGCAAAAACCCATATTCATGATTGATGTCATGATTTTTTAAAGCAAGGAGAAGAATCAAAATTAACACAATATATCCAAATTTTTCTGTTTAGAAACAGAAATGTTTTTGGAACCAATTCCCTGAATTATCCTTTGAGCTCTTGCTAATGGAAACCGCCTGTGAATGATAGAGGACAGTGTGTGCATTCCATAGCCCGTATGTTAATGCAGTACGTAGATGTAGTATCCGGCAAGTCACCCATAGTTGTGAAGTTCAATGTGGGCGGCTGTGCCTGATTCTGAAGAGGTGGAACTGAGGTTGACAAATGAAGCCTGGTTGCTGAACCTAGTGGCTAGCCCCCTGAGAGGGCACCCACCTGTCACTCAAAGTGGCCACATCCTTAATCATGCAAAACTGTAAGCCTCAATAGAATTTAAATAGTTGAGTTATATAAAATTCACCCCCCTCACAGCTTTCATGAAGGGGGAATTTATCCTGACCAAAACTGTTTTTGTACCAGGCTGTAAACATGTTTATTTCTGCTTTAAAGTTGGGGGTTTTAACACGGGGTTCTTCTACAGGGACTGACTCGCTTTTGAAGCCTCAAGTGGCCATTGGAAGAACTGCAGTATAAGGCACACATTAATTTTTCTCCACTAGATGCTTTAATTTCAATTTACAAATGTCCAGACAGCTGTTCTGCTTCAAAACTCTTCCTATTTTGTTCTCATCTTTCCTGCTCCCCCCCCCCCTCCACTAACCTCTCCCTCGCTCTCTCTCAACTCAGTATCTCCTGCTCTCTCTCCCTCTGTCAGTCTGGAGGTATTACTGCCAATTACATCATAGCAGCCTTTCAGCCCGGCCAGAGTGATGCAACACCATGCAGACAGAGAGACTGCACACACACACACACACACACACACACACACACACACACACACACACACACACACACACACACACACACACACACACACACACACACACACACACACACACACACAGTGTTTGTCCGTCCCTTTCCCTCTCCATCTTGTTGATAAGAAGATGAGTAGAGGGAAGAAGGTAGAGACAGAAGCAGGCTGTGTCTGAAAGCTGCTGTTCGGGATACAGGACAGGCTAATCCTGAAATCAACACACTCACACCAAATGTATGGTAGAGGAACAACACTGTAAACAACACTGTACTAGCATAAGGGGAGCAGGGCTCAGTTGTCAATCAGGATGTAAAAAAACCCTTTTCAGAGCACCAAAGAACTCATTGAAACCAAACTCATCACAACAAACTTCAGCGTGACAAGAACAGTGTAAAGCGACAAAAACCATCTTTGGGGAAAATGCATTTCATGTGTACTTTGATTTTTTCGTTTGGCTCAAATCCCATCCGCTAACTTGGAGGTGGTGGAGTTTATGACCAGTACTGCAGCCAGCCACCAGAGGGCAATACAGATGTTTTGGCTTCACTTTTGGGTGCTGTTATGTCGCCCATCTTTACATACAGTCTATGGTCCAGACCGGTTGGTATGCTGAAAGCACAAGC